AATTCGCCAAGATTCTCTGAATCTCAGAAACCTTCCCAACTACTCAGTCTCCGCGAAGCTTGGATGCGGGGTCCATCAAGGCGGCCCGGGCAACTGTATCAATCCCGACCCCCTAATATTAAACGGCCCCCCCCATAATAGATACTCGGAAAGTGTTTTTATTATTAGGGTGTATTTTTCTCTCTATCGTCAGATTTGGGTACAATAGTAAACCCTAAACCCCAAACCGCACAGGTCTCTGAAGCCATGCCTGCCTTGTGCGAGTGAGGCTCCTAAACCCTAAACATCCCTAAACCGCACAGGTCAGACCGAGAGACCCACCGTCTCTCACCCTAAACCCTCAACCTTTAACCCTAACCCCCCCGCCCAATTCAGAATAGGATTCAAAGGGCAGGGATGATTTCTGCAGGATTGGGCGCAAAGTGTTTCTATTATTAGGGGGGTGTTTAACAAAGGGGGGGGTGATTAAGAAGTTTACATAAGTCTTGATTGATGAACAGATTAAGCGAAGAAAGCTGAATGGCGCGACTATCTTTCCGCATCTGTGGCGGCATACCAGTCACTGCAGCAACAGCCAATCTCGCCTCAACACACACCTTCGCCAGCTGCAGGTGCTCTCGCGTCTCGTGCTGAGGCCATGTGCCGAGGAAGTAAACCAAATGGGCCTGGCTGCAGCAAGGCTTTCATGCCCGATAGCATTGGGCAAGATCATGCGGCCGAAAGCCTTGAATGGCACATTGCGGCGCTTGTCCATCTTCTTTGCCAGTGTCCTACGACCTCGGCCAGCAAGGACTGAACAAAGGACTCACCCCTGAAAAGTGTCTGGAATTGAAGCCCATCGCCTCTGCTCCAGGTCTACTTCTCTTACCGTTTTTGCGGGGTCCCCAAGTCGACTCCAAAAGCCAAAACCTCCACCATTTGTTCTCTTTCCATGCTTTCCCCCTATGTCCGGCGACTCTGCTCGGCTCCCAGCGCTCACCGAAAGCCTCCACGACCTCAAGCAGATGAAAAAGCAGCAAGGTATAGCAGCAAAGCAAGGTGCAACTGCAACCTTTAAAGAGAAGACTTAAGGGCTGCCTGTCAGATGACGCCCATGCGATAAGGGACCCGGACAGCATAAACGAGCTCTTGCTGCCCGCGATGTGGCTCCTGAGCAGGGCCGATTGGCAGTTTGCCACTTCTAAGCTACCGCTTACCTGGCTGGTCGCCTAGTTTAACGTTACTGACGTTACTGTCGTGCTTCGAATGGCTGCGCAAAGAAATCATATGTATGGGGGCGTAAAATGTGAAATACCTCCTGGACACGAAAGTCAAACGGCTCTCAACACGTCCCGACACTGGCAACCTGTGGAAGTGCGTGAGCGCCGCCCAAAGTCAACAACAGCGGATTTAGGTGCCTCGGTGACTCAGCCAAGCATTGTCGGTGCCGACTATGCTCGAGTTCAGCTCTCAGCCGTCGGCTGCCTGATCTCCGCAGTCATAACCGGCCCTTGGAGAACACTCTGTCATCAACCGAATACAATCACCCTACTCCTGCTACGCGTTGAGACAACTTCACAACTGAGACATGGCACCACTGCATCGCACACTCACCTGCATGTTTGCACCAACTATCACTGTTTATCACTTTGAGAGCTTGCAAGGAGGCATGAATGCTGCAGCGCCTGCAAGGCTTTGATCTGTGGACATGGTACTTGCACCTCGGCGTCGTGCAACGTCGGCAGCATGGGCTCTAATGAGACGCACGCACGTCACGTGACGGCAGGTGCAGGATGCAACGATAGTGGTCAGTATAACATTGCGAGGCAGAGCCCAATTGCCACCGATAGAATTATGAATCTCAGGGCCAAATGAAAAATGGAGTCTCGCCATCAATTTCGACAGGCTGCGATCAGATCCTCGGAGATTGTCGGACCTTTCGGCCAGGCCAGAGAAATCAAGCATGACCCGTCCGCCAAAGGCTTCGTAAGCCTCAACCGTCACCAACCCCCGCTCAGAGTGTCGAGGCTGCCATAACTCACAGCAGAGAACCTCTAAGACTAAGACTGTTACGTTCCGACGTACTGCCAAGTCTGCCTGATTGCTGCAGGCACTTCTGCACGATCAGGGGAGCCAGCGGTATGACCACCTCCAGCTTGACCTTTGCGATGCGACCGAACGCGACCGCCGACACCCCCACCAAGGCACGGTGCAGAGCCGTAGGCCTGAGGCGACTGCATACCCTGCTGGGGTGCCATCCGCAGATTCAGCAGGCTCCTGCAAGTCTCAAACTGGAGCCGGCAGATTGTCTTAGGGGAACCGAACCAGCCCGTCCTTCGATGCGACCTGCCGCATGTACAGTTGTCACTCAGGTTGGGGAAGCATGGGGGTCTGTGCTCAAGCCTCTTTTGGATCCTTCTTTTTCTTTGGATCCTGCAGGCACGGCCAAAAACCAGCTTCCTTTGCCGCTCCATACAGAGAATTGTATGAGGTCTCCAGCACATGTAGCAGTTCTCACCCCCAACCACTCAGTGTACAGGTACTCTGACTGGCATAGTCACTTCAGTCACCAAATTCACCATGTTCGAACGGCCGGCGCGGGATCCACTTGTCCTTCTTGGGATCTGGCTTCTTCTTGCCCGATGCTGAAGCAGGCGGGGAGCCAATGTCCGCCAAGCCTCAGGAGCAAGATTGCCACGCAAAGCTTTTGGAGACTGCACTGAGGTGTTCTGCCTGGCTCTGGCAAGGGCGCTTCAGGATCCGGCATGAAGGCCTGGCAGCCGCAGCCGCTGAAGGCCCTAATTGAACTGTCAAGACTACTTCGGGGCCTGAATACGAAGAGCCTGGACCTGAGATAGGACACGCGCTGCACCTTGACTCTTTGACCTTGCTCACTGTCTGAGATGCCAGCTGCAAGAGCCCGAACGAAGGCGCATGTGCAACTGCCACAGGGTCAGGGGCAGGCATCTCAAACGAGGCATGTGCTATGAGCGTTGCCGGATCTGCTGGATGTTTTTGAAATGGCTATGAGATGCAGTGAGTGACTGAGCCCATCCTCATCTTCGGCGAAGCGCTCTCGAACCGACGTGACTCGATGAAAGCTCGCGGCTTCTCCTCCGGGCTCAAGCGGTCGGGCTGGAGCAGCTGGGGATTTATCGACTCGGTGTCTGAATGAGGCAGTCCCTCTCCTCAGCTTCCTGTGTCTCGGCTGCCGGTACCGGATCTGCATCCGCGGGTGGAGGTTCCTATAGGGCGCAATTACTGGGCATCTTCCGATCAGTGCACAAAATTGGGGCCTTCTCCGGTAGCTCCACTGGCTCTGGCTCAGCAGCCTGCCGCTCAATGAGCTGCTGTGAACGATGTCTGTGCGCAGAAGCTTGCACAGAGCCTTCTGCCACGTCTCGCTGGAAACCGTCCCCGTGTTGACGCTCTGGGCGAGATCGCCTCGGCGGATGGCATCGGGACATGTCACTGACTTGCTACGGCCTGCGCTGGACTTGGAATCACGTGGTGCAGCCAGCTTTGCAGATGCATTTGATACCCTCCATCCTGTTTGAGACCGGCTCAATCCAAACTTGTGTGGTGGGCCTGCCCTGCTCAAGCAACAGGTGAACTGTGAAGGGTGGGCCTGCAACGTAGGGCAGCTATAAAGGCAACTGTCGAACAGGTGTCGAACTACCTTAAATTCTTCACGCGGACCATTTTGTAGTTGCAGTAGTCCCCTGGTGCAAGAACTTTCTTGCCACGCCACATGCGCTTCTTCAGGATCTTTCGCCCCTTCACAGTAGAGGCACGGGCCAACAATGAGCAGGAGCGGAACTTCTTTCGCAAAGTCCACCCTTCGCTGCGGTCTCGTTTGGTGCGCTTCTTGTTGTACATAGCAACTCTGACATCGCGGTCACCTTGAAGTGAAGGGACCCCCGAACCAGCAAGCAGCGAGCCAGCAGCAAAATCGGTCTCCATCAGAGATGTCAGAGCCACGTCTGCATGCTCTGCGTGCCGCACATCAGGCAGAGATGCACTCAGAAAGCACCTCTGAGCAAGCATCGTCAGCGCTGCCAGACCGAGGGCCGCCGCTGCGGCGTGGGCAAACAGGCCACGGCCCCTTGCCGTCATCGCGCTGCCGCTTGAGCTACCAGTACTTCTGCCCTGAAGAGCCAACGGATACCAGGATAGAAGGGTCCCCACACGATCCTCAATGCTGATCACTCACGACATGAGCAACTGGCCGGTGTCTGTGAACCAGGTGAAGAGAAACGCGACCTTCGGGCGGAAGACCAAAGGACTCCCCCGATTGAAAGCCGTTATGGTGCATTCACCAAAAAAACAAGCCGACTGCATGAGGACAGTAGTCGTCCAAACACCGTACATCGATGGCAGCAGTAAGGGTCACCTAGCCGACTGCAGCCGCACATGCAGTGGTGCATTGGACTTTCTTTCAAGAATGAAGTACCAGGCCTCGTTAGCAGGCAAATCGGCGGGGTCTGGTCTGGCATCCAGCCATGGCCTTGGCGAAGACTGTCGCCAACAGCCACATAATGTAGATAAGCACGACACATGCAATTTACGCACAAACTCACAGAAGTTGCCAGCTCTGACGAGAACTTCAACGTTTCGCAAAATCGAAGGCCATCACGTCACCATGCTCGAGGCCACCGACTCCTGACAACACGGACATAAAACTGCCGATGCACAAGCACGGAGCAGAAGTACGATAACTGTCAGCAACTTAGCTCTCAACACATGACGGATCATTGGAGTGCTGCGGGCCACTTCATTGATTCGTAACCTACCGATTGGTAAGCAGCTGGTAGTGTTGCTTGGTGGATTGGCAGTTGTGTGCATCTAGAATCTAGATTTGTATAGAATGGTGCAGAGTTCGTGGACAACTCGAAACTTCAGCTGTCCGGGCCCAGCTAGCCATCCGGTCTTCGGACGGCCTGAGCCTTCACACGGACGACATGCTCCACGCAGGAAGCCCTGAAGTCAACTCTGACACAGATCTTGATACTTCGTAGCACCTGCAGCCATCCAAGGTCCGGTTCAACTCGGCGACATCCCTCGCCTGGCCGCAACATGTTGTACTTCAAGTTCATCGACAAACGCGCTTTCAACGTAGCAGGCACGAGCAGCGAGCCAAAGTCTCCGAGAGCGCCTCCTCGTAGGTGCACCCGCCGACGACAAAGACCACGCAGCGCCTCGGGGGCTCCCGTGCTGGAGCCACGCCTTGGCTTCGGGAGAGGCGCGCTCTGAGATGTTCGTTTGAAGCTCGTGGATGCTTGGGAGAAGAGCTCGTTCCTTGTCGAAGATATCTGAGAGGCGGGCTGCTGCCCTTGCCCTGCATGTAGGGGTAGCTGGTCTGCAGAAGCAGCTCATGTGGTCAACATCGGGAATCGCTCGAGCGGTCGTTGGCCATCTAGAGCAAAGATGGCAAAGATGAGCTCCACTGACCACACACCTTCCCCTGTCATGTAACCAACATGCCTATACCACTACTAGTACCACTCGAAACCGTCAGCTCGTATGGCGCCTGTGGGTGCGGGCGGGCGGTGCAGTGCGCATGCAGACACTGGGTCTGTGGGGGTCTAGGTTTAGGTTTGCATGCTCGTCTGTATGCGTCCGGCATGCAATCTTACAAGAGACGTGGCCTCCTTCAGCTGGCCCTTCATCAACGAGGTGACTACGCTGGCCACGTGGCTCTTGTGCTGAGTGTAGACCTCAGCTGAAGTCTGAGCAAGCAACCAACCAGCACCAAGTTTTGGTCCCGCAATGCATGAAGGGGCTCTGCTGCAAAAGGAGCTCGTGCTGTTGGCCCTAAATGAACAGCCATCCCGTCAATCGCGTGTGGTCCTTGACCCGAGAGCTCGGCATTCTCCACACCTTTGAAGCTACTGGTGACCACGTTCTTTGCCTGAGCTCAGAGCACAGCTTAGTTACAGTACCTGCAAGACAACGATTTGGAGCAGCTGGTGGGCCCACTCTCAGTCCAATCTGTGCCGTGACAGCTGCAGGCTGTGAAACAGAGAGACAGGAAGAGAACGAACAAGTCCGTCTAGCACGTCGCTCAGAACTGATGCAAAGCAGAAACGGACACAGGATGAACCTGCAGGCATATGCGCTGCCGGCAGATGCAAGATCTGTGGGACATTCTCGGGCTGTCTCGGGCTTTTTGGTTGCAACGACTATTGGCCATTGATGCGGAGCAGCGAGCGGCACTCACTGTCAGTCCAACCTGTGCTATGATAGCTGCAGGCTGCACAACGTTGTGTAGCGGAGCAGAGGCGGCCAAACAAGCACTATCATGCGCAGCATGGACCGTCTCAGGTTGTGTGGCATGCAGAAGCACGGCTGGCCAATGGAGGGCAACTTGGGGGGACTGGGTCAAAGATAGTCAGCGATCCTACGGGAGCTGCGCAGGGCTATGTGTGGGTAGAGTTGCTAGCAGCGAGCACGACGAAGCAATTCCGCTAACCGCTCCTTCAGGGAATTCCATGGCAACATTATTCACACAGGATGGGGTTATGGGCATTCAATTTCATTCGGGTAGCAGTTCTATTTACAGCAGTAGTGGTAAGTATCTAGCAAGTTCCGCCATGGAACTTGCGAAACCAATACCTTGACATTCTATGGGGCGGGATAAGCTAGGCTCAACAGGACAGGCATTCGTAGTGATATGTGTAGTATGGAGAGGGGTATAACTATCACTACTAGCCCCAGACGGTAACACGAACAGAGGTCAGACTTCTGCATGAGAACGAACGGATCCGGTTTATCAGGATGCCCCGTCGCAGTTTCTTAAACGAGGCTCGCGGCGGAGAACCCCATGCTGTAGTAACCATTAACAGTATTCAGAGTAGTGGTAAGACGAGTGACTAGTAGAGCTGGACTGCTGCTAACACGACACCTTTAGGCTGCCAGGCTTGTGGTTCCGGCGCTAGCCTTGCGAAGCATACAACACAGAGCGTAATTGCAAACATGCTGCTGCAGAATAGAAACAGCGACCATAGCGTGTTTGAAGACTTTGCTGCTATATCGACTACATGCGGGGGATGTGCACTCTTCGTCACCCCTGCAGCCTGGAAATCCCTTTGTGTGGCCCTCTTAAGCCTTAAGCCTCATTTTTGCAAAGGCTGATGGCTCCTCCTGTTTATGCCCTCTTTAACTTTTGCATTCAATCGAAAACGCGTTCAAGCGCTCAAAATGGGGCCGCAGGGCTTCATCTACCTCATTACCTCGCATCGGCAGCAAGCTCTCCGCTTGGTGTCCCTGCCACATGCTTCTCAGTCCCCCTTGAGTCTGCGAATGCGCCAGCTAAGATAACAACCAGAAAACCTGCGACAAGACAATCAACCAATTCGTCTAAAGTCGCAACATGGCAGCTGGCAGCAAGGGTCCTTCTTTAGGTTCCATTAAGCACCGCGCAAGTTGCAAGAAGCTCTTGTTCTGAAACAAGTCACTGTTGCGCACTTGCCTCGGCCCGACACATCGGCCCCTGAAACCTCTTTACCCCTCGGTGAATTCTGGACCACTGCTACATCACCCGAGCGTGCAGCGAGCCCGCATAGCGCAAGAGCTGGTCCACCAGGCCTTCGAAACGCAAACACAGTGTTGGCGCAAACTTCGCAGAGACAGCTGCAAGATGCAAGCATGACTGCGCCTATTTGATCATCTCCGACTCCCTTCTGTCGCAGCTGGTCCTTGGCACGCGCTGAAACACCGAGCAAGAATGCATTCAGACATGCCAGCGAACCTTCAGCTGTGCGATGGAGTTGTACTCATGCTCGTACCTGCATGGCCGCTGCCATACTGGGGCGGCCGTGTGCATAAGTGAAAGCGAGCATTCAGCCTCAGCGCGAAGAGCAGCACCAGGCGTAGACCTTCCTGTGACAGAAAACTCAAAGCAGTCTCTTCCTGTGGTCTTCCGGTGTTCCCGATGCAATTGCCATCGAGCTCGTGCAATGCGCACCATTGGCGTGATCTTTGCCATCTTGAGCAAGTCCACCAGTGATTTGTAGTGCTCCTAACGGAGGACATGCCGGAGACAGCTTTGCCACAGTTATTGACTCGAGTCGCTAGAACACTATAGGCACTCAAGCTTCACCGACGTTAGAGCTTTGGCAGCTCGCCCCATGGCCCCAAGCCTTCTGGTTCTCTGAGCAGGCCAGCTCCTGCTCCAGCTGAGATGCCTTGCCAAAGGGTGGAGAAAAACAAATCTTCCGACATTAGGGGCTCTTTTTGTTCACCATGGTCGCACGCGAGTGAGGGCCGGAAGCCATGTTTGCACGGCTTTACACGGTCGTCTGACTGGAACACAGGCAGGTGGCTAGGCGTTGCCCATCTCCGGAGCCTTGAGAAAACTTGCACAAGGATCTCGTGGCACTGGCGACCACGACCAGCGGATATCGGAGTGTTTTCTGGTTGTCACTGAGGCGGAGAGCTCGACATTGGACTTCATGTCGTCGACGTTGGAGCAGCGTCTTGCTGTAAACATCTCAATCATGCCGTCAAGGCTCGCACGACTCCTGTGCTGGCTGCACAGGCTTCCGGATTTCCAGGCATTCCAATGTCACCTCTAAAGTGCTGTTAGCAGGTAGACCTCGGCTGTCAAACGTGCCAGAACCTTTCAAACTCTTGCCAAAACATGCAACAACTAACAATCCCGACTTTCAGCTCGCAGCCCAGGAACCCCATGCCTCAAACCTCCGAGGTCCGTAGGCATCCCGGGGCGGCACCACCAAGCGGCGATGCTCCCCTAGCTGCTACTGCAGAAATTATGCAGATTATGATGGCACTGGCATGATCCGATGCTTAGATGTGTTCCACTTCTTAATGGTTCGATGCAGGCACCTGGCGTCATGCCAATGCTACCCAGGTCCCATCCGCGGAAAACAAGGCCACGACCAACCTGACCACACAAAGATTCAACGTACCAGCAATAGGTCAAAGCTTTTAACTGTGTGGGAGCACCGACGTTCAGGAAAGGATTTCACAGTATATTTCAGAGCAGCCTCGTAGTTGATGGGCCGCTGTGTGTCCCGGGAACTCCAAAACTTCTTTCCCGTTGCTGCGACCGCACCTGAGCTGCGGATGTGCGATCCAACCTCTTTCAATTGAAACTTGTCAACAGCTCAGCTCATGCGCACTTCTAATCTACCCTCTGTGCGAGAGACACTCATACAATGAGCCCCTGCGGCAGCACGAAGCGTGCCCACGAGTTCTGTAGAGTATACTCCCACACTTTCCCCAAAGATTCGAGCAAACCGCTTCGTGTCCACAATGTTGTGAAGCTGCTTGCAGTTGGCTTGTAACTAAGTCCATCATCCTTTACACCTCGAAGCCTCGCAACTGGGAAATTGCCGCTTTGCTGATGCACTTCTCGATTTCAGCCATCGGTCGGTTGAACGGTTGGGCACCATGAAAGTTTCTGAGGCCACAAATCCGACGGTCGTCCGGCAATGAAGCCCTGATGTTCCATTTGTGAGTGCCTCATAAAACCAGCAGCCGCGAGCTGCGCAATGTCTGACGCTTGGTTGAACGAGAAACAGCGATTTGGTGAACTCCTCGGGTGGATGCGGGTGGCACAATTATGGAGCGCACACCAACGCAAAAAAAGCCCTGGAGATTTTTTCTTAAGAAGGCGTCTCGAAGTTATCGTCTTGTCCATACTCACTGTGCAGGTGCCATGCCGTGCCGACATGCCAAGAAGCTTGTCGCGTGAACACATATTGTGTCACCCACGGCTGCGACAGGTTCCGGCAATCCAACCTAAGTCAAAAGAGCTTCATCACTAGTAGGAAGTGGGAAGAAGCAAGCCAGCCTTCAAGATCTGCTTCGTCGTCTGGCATCCCCTCACGCCTTCCTTGCACAACAACACAAGCCTGCAGAAATGGCGCTGGCCTGCTGTCTGCATGAGAGCGACCATGGCCGTCTCTGCGCAGAAGCTGCTGCGAGCCAGAAACAGCTCCACAGTGCCCCACATGAAACGGAATTGCATTCAAGCAGATGGAAGCAGGGAGGGGCTTCAAAGCGATTTTGACAAAGCAGTGCGCCTCAAGGAGCCCGTAGGCGTCGATTATTCGGGACCTGGCCAGCGTCCCCAACATCCCGAACACAATGCAGCACCATCATGACGGACGCAGGGGTCAACTGAGGGTGTCGCAGTTCGCTGACCACATTGACGTGCTTCGACACATTTCCTTTCAAGAACTGACATGAGTAAGGTAGGTATTGACTGCTCCCCCTTTGCTTAGAGGTGCTGTTCAATGTGCGGAACCCCCTTTGCCAGCCTGACATGCGCCGAAACTCTGGGTACTCATCGACAAATCGCTGCATCTCCTGGCAAGTTTGACCAGGCCTGATGCTGGCTCTTCCACCACCACCAGAACAGGCAAGCCCTGTCCTCTATTGACTCGATGCGCGCCGTGTTTTTAGTTTCTTTCTGGTACTTCTCGACCTGCAGCTTCGTCAATCAACACAACTGGACGTGTGTTCTAAAGCGAATGACAAGTCACAGACGTTGAATCTAAACATAGCAGGACACCGGCGTGGTAAGTCGAGGCAAGTGCAAGCAAGTGTATTGCTGGAGCGTCCGACCAGGTTGCGAGTGTTCTGCCCTAAGTCGCCAAAGTTGGAGTACAAGTTCGTCAAGAAGAACTCGTCCTGATCTTTGGTACGAGGCAAGAGCAAAACTTCATGCAGTCATCGTTCTTGAACCATGTGCAAACACTTGCAAGCACTTCATGTGTGCCTGTAGTGGCGACATGACGATCCTCTCGAGCTCTGGCCTTGCGTCTTTCTGCACCTCAAGCTTGCTGCGTGCACTGGCATGACTGCTCACACCTCCTGGCCGTGGCCTTCTTCAGGTCAACAATGTTGTTGTGCATGCCCAGCAGCTCGTGCACCATTGCCTGAAGAGGCTCTGCACAAAGAGGCCTTCGCATACTCAGTGCCACAAAGGGCGAATTGGCGAACTCAACCGAACTGGAGGTTTGGATGCTTGCCGCTGCTTGCTAGCCCTATCAGGCCGAAAAAGCGGCCTGGTAGGTCCATTGCTGCAACAGAGGTGTGACTGGATCATTCCTGGCCGAGCAAAGCAGAGCAAAGAACAGAGGTCCTTTGTCGCTGAGGTGACTACTCAACTCTGACTCTGACGCGCACGCACCTGCGATCAAAAAGGAGCAGGACCTTGGACAAGGCTTGAACACACAGGAGGCCCTTGAAAAGAGGCTCAATGAGACTGCTCTCGTCTCAGGCTGGGACTGGGGTCGCTTCGCCTTTCTGAGCTTTCACGATGGTTTCGAAGAGGCTCTGCTCTTCGTGGATGCGGGTCTGTCGGTGTGGAAGCTGGCAGGCTTGATCTAGAGCAGATTTTTCTCCTGTAACTATTTCAAACCCAGCCTCCCCCGAAACCGCCCAGGACCTTTGAGAATGTCCTATGAGGGTGATGCCCGTGAACGTTCATTAACTGCAAAAAACCTACACGGAAGAACTCACGGCTGGACATGCTATGAATCGGAAGTTCTATTTCGCTCTGCAAGCCTGCACCAGCACCCAGCTTCCATCCTTGCAACCCCTTGCAATAACCTGATCTTGTACTGTTTGGCCAGCCTGAAGTCTGTGTGCGATTTGTCGGGTGAGATCACACCTTGGGAAGACGGGGAAGACTTGGGATCAGCCTGCGACATGTTTAGCCAAATTTAATTTCAGGGGCGAGGCCGGAGCTGGCAAGTCCACGCATCATCACATCCAAGCACACCGCCAGCACACCAGCAACGGAAGGGAAACAGCGCTGGCCAGGCAGGCACTATAGGCATCCCACATGCAACCACAACCGCATCAGCAAAGCAGGAAAAGCAGAGCTGGCACCATCACATCCCATCGCATGAAACATGCAACCGCATCAGCAACTCAGCAACGGAGAGAGCAAAAAGCATGCAGGCCCCTCCTAACTGCTAACGCAGGCAGATAGCCAGTTCTTCGCAGGCAGTCCGAGTCCAGAGGTATTCTAATTCTAGCCTTGAGAAGCGGACGAATCCGTGTATCGGATTGCAGGCAGCATCCGCATCGTCAGGCAAGTTGCGAGCAGCCCCTGGCTTTCGCAACATTGTTTCGCAGAGTTGGAGCCTTAAGCAATGTGGCTTGCCTCGATGATGCGCTCAAAGATGCTCTCCTCGTAAGATGTCCACCGCCCTGGGTCCTCAGCGGCCATACAAGCGAGATTAGAACAAGTTCTTTGACCAGGCTTCGTACACTTCACGCTCCACGTCACAATCAGTCCGATGCTCGCTCTACAGTTGCAGCATGTGTCCAGCATGTGTGGAAGCGTCTTTCATTATGACCCAGCCTCTGTAAGCCGGACGGTGGACTGCAGATTCAGAGAGAAGAGGTCATGGTTGACCTCATGGGTTGACCAATGCAGGCTATGGCGACTTTGACCGAGCACGCTTTGGCTTTCAGGACTGCTTAATTTTCGGCATCGGACACTTGGAAGAACTTGTGCTGATCGAGAACTAAGCAGAAATTACTGCTGAGCCGCTCTTCAAACCGCAACCACTACCCGAGCTGAGACTGACATGGAGCCTGATCCATTTCAGAGCACTGCTTGAGTTGGCCTTTGTGTCACGACTTAGCGCCCAGCCGCGTATACATCAGCAAAAAACTCTTGCACCTGTCGGTTACAAGAAGGCTGCTTCCTTGCGGAAGAGGTTTGGGCTCGCAGTTGAACCCTCAGCTCCCACCTGTTTGACAACCTCGTACTCATCGCAGCACGCGAGCGGCTCAAGCCGCATGTGAGGGACGACGTTGGTGAAGAAGAGGTGGTACTGTGCGTGCACTGAGAAAGGCACATGCACTTTGTCCCAGGCTCCAGGCTCCTCGTTGTACTTTGGATTCTTCAGCTCCTGCGAGAGCTTCAGGAAGTTCTTGTTGGTCGGCCTGCCGACTCGGCCGACACGCATCTGTCAGAACAGGAGACTGGACGCAAGAGCACAGTAATTCCAGAGCCTGAGGAAGCACACAGCATTCATGTGTCGCATCTTGTCCTCGATGAGTTATTGACAACAAAGGCAAGGGTGGCACTGCAGCTTACTTCGTCAAACAGCTTCAGCGCGATATCGGAGGGAAACAGAATAGGATTCTTGTGATGAGAGCTTGCAGGTCCTGAGATGCAAAGCTGTCTGCATCGATACGCTCGACAAGAAAGACCTGCACCGAAGGAGAGCATTGCTGGGCCCAAGACAGCCGAAAGCTTTGACGAGTGTTCTCTCATATAACAGGCGACTGTGAATTCAGTAGACGGGTGGTTGGTGTGCAGCAGTTGACATTCAACGAGCAACAGCCGTCGATCCACGAAGTAGAATTTTTGACAGGCGAATCGACTGCCACTCAAACAGCAAGACTGACAGCCGTTTTCGTCTCGCATCATGCCTGTGCTGACTGTACCCGACAGGCCCCTGATGCCTACATGAGCCGCAGAACACCGTATCATCTAGGCTGCGACTAGAACTGGGCATGTGCCAGTGCTGCCTTAAACAATTCATCGAAACTGCAGCCGTCTGCAAGGATAATAAGCTTAAGTCCTGAATCACTTGGAACGACTCTTCTCGTGCTTGCAGGCTACACAGAACTGTTAGTGTCCGACCAGGTCCAAATGGCGTACCATCACTGATCCACGCAGGCGAATGCGTTGAGCACTCAGCTCTCTATCCACCGTACGGGTCATAGAACCTCAGCCAATCTCTCTGTCGAGCTTGATTCGTTGGCATGTTTGTGCTTCTGCCATAAACGCAGCCTTCTACTGCTGTAGTGAATTCAAAAACCCACTGCGTCTACTGTTTAAAACTTTGTGCAAACAGCACTTACAGTAACAAAATTACAAGTTGAATTAAGACCGGCGGCGAGTCAGCGAGTGTGCCCGGCTCACGAATCATAGTGCATGGACGCAATATTAAACACTCGCACCCGCACTGTAGAACCTGGGAAGTGAAACTTTCTGATTGAGCTGTTATATAAAGGAAACCCCTTTTGGTTTGCAAGGTTGCGGCTGGAATTCATGATTCATGGCTTTCAAGCACAGCACCTCTCGCACATCGCAAGGCAGTACAGGGTTTTTATTTCCATGGTCATGCAGGTCAGCAAAAGTTGAAAGCCCCAGCCTCCGCAACCAAACTAGGTTAAGAGTGCCTTGAGCTCATGCAGATTGCACAAACGCATCGCACTGGCTCCTGCAGTCAGGCTCTCGCTCTTGTTTGGGATCGTTTTCTTCGGTGCCACTGCTTGTAAAGCTTCACGAATGGCGCACGACTTCGGAGTCGCCAGAAATCGATATAACATACTCTGGGGATGTGGGACTCTCCGCATGCACGCGACGAAACACAAGGTTTCTGGCAGTTTCTGCCACCAGTCCGGGGCGTGTGCCAAAAGACCGAGTGTTTTTGGAACCGCACACCTGCTCTTTGCGAACGAAAGACGGAGTTCTTGGGCGCATTCGCTCCTGGTCCAAAACGTGCTTTGATGAAATCACCTGCATGGATTCCGTTGTGGGGCAGTCTAAAGCATGCCCACCCCCGACAGAGTTCGCAGCCACGGTGGTCGGTCGGCGGGGTTCTGGGACTGCTTCCACAAAAGACAGCATTTCATGCCCTCTTGGCTGGGTTGCAAGAAGGCTCGAGCGCGGTTGACGGGATGGAGGCGGAGGTCGGCTATGTCAGGTTGACCGGCATGTGAAGCCTTGTGACCCGATGGCGTCTGGTTTTGTGGGGGCGGGGCGAAGTTAGTTCGACATCATTGGTCTACTCTGTCATCTGAACAAATTCACCTCAACCCAAAGCACGAAAACTTGGAAGGCTGACAAACACCAGAGTCGAAGGACAAATCTTGGATCACGGCGCGTGCATGTTGACTGGTGCAGAACGCACTGCAGGAGCTGACCTTTGCCAGGTGTGTGCGGTGTTTCTTGATTCACCAAATCACAGCTGGACTAGAGCTGAATCCAATGTAATTACCGTTAAAAGGCTTGCCCATGCCACGTAAGGACTTCACACTCGAGTCGCCGTTGGTGCGGCTTGTGGCCTGCTTGAAGTGGGGAAGAGTGGCAAAGGGATCTGACAAGTCTGATGCTGCATCCCCCTACTGAGACTGGCCGACTAGCCGGTATCTTGGACCGAACAGGAGGCCTGGCAGAAGGCTGCGGCGCTGGCAGCGATAGAAAGACGTCGTCGGCTGCAGGAGCATGCATGCGTGCAAGTGACGCGAGTGATGCAATCGGTTCATCGTGGGCATGTGCCTTGCCTTGTTTGCAGCACGGTTTACAGAAGGACACGTCTACAGAATGCTCTTCCCTTTCTGCATTGCAGAAAGACTTGGGGCAGACTGCCAGGACCTTTTTCGGCAAGGAATTTGGTGAAGAGACACGCCTGCATCCCGAATGTTCTGAAAGAGTTCACCGCCGTAGCTCTGAACCCCAGCATCCTTGAAGTTGTTGCCTCAGTTCGTGGGCCGAAAGACAACGTTGATCCTTCAAGCACGCCGGTCTCAAACTGTCGGTCATGGCAGAGGATGCTGCCCTGCACATTACAGTAGCACGTGTCGAGTATCCTGCAGAAAAGTGTGGTAGCATCATTTCGAACTTCACTTCATGGGGTTCAGCCCTTTTCACTTTCAGGCTTGGGTGGCGGCACTGCTGAGATAAATGAGCAGACATCAGGGACGGCAGGTAGTGCAAGCCTTGCAAAGCTTGGGACGAGCCGGAGCTTCTGCTTGCAAAGTCCAAGGCCGGCACCCCACTTCTGATACCAGTCTTCTCGAGACAGCGCTTCAGACACCTCACAGACACTTGCGAGCTGGCGAGCGGGAGGCTCTATGCCGAAGCGGCGGGAACCTGGCCTGGCCCTCGAAGTCCTCGCGGAGGCCTTCGGCCGCCTCCTGTGGGAATTGCGTGCTTTCCCAAGTCACAGAAAAGGATGTCAGGACGGGAGCACCTTGCTAGGGGAGGAAGAGATCTCCGAGATCATGGCCTGGCCCATGCAAGCTTGCGAGCAGCACAGGGACGTAGCCTAAGCTTAACGTTCACCGCCTGGACAATCTCTGAAGCTTGGTCGAGAGGCAAGGCTTTGCCTCATGACTTGTGTCGATGCTGTGGAGCACTGTGGAGCTACTGCGGTCCCAGTGGATGACATCGGGGATGCTGAGAACTGAGAACCGGACCATTCGCCCTGTCCATGGCTGTGAGCTTCAAGGATGCCATGGCCTTTGCATCGGCTGTCTCTTCAGTCCTTCACATCCGCCACATTACAAGCCTGCTGGATGCAGTCAACCGCCTTCAATCGAAGCCGGTGCAGCTCAACCTGTCTTGAAGCTGCATGGCGAGATCCGCATCAGCTCAACTCCGAGCAGCACCACAGATTGTGATACTCAGCTCACCGCGCGAGCAGGATCCGTGCAGCCTGCGTAGGCACAACCAAGACGCTTCGATGAAGGACCGGCTTGCTTCCTGTCTTCTGGGCTCTGGGCATTCTGTCTTATCGCACAAAGTATCTTATGCCTCTCATAAGCTGAGCCATCCACTACACGACCGCTAGATTTGACGAGCTTCGCTTTTATACCGCCCCGCCCAACCCAGCTCGATTTGCAAACGTGTACTTCATCTAACCAAAGCCCAAGCCTTTGTGCAACTCTACTCGCAGCCCTGCTAACCACGATCGACTCATCACAGGACCGACCCCGTAATCCCATCGAATGACACTTCAATCACTTTCAATAAGCCCAGCTCTAATGCTTTCATGGACCACAAGTTTATCTTGGCCAAGGGCGAGGGCGCAAAGACAGTTACACACGGGCTTGCGAGGTCGGCAACGGTGTCTGCTAAGACTTGCCGGCAGTCTTCGTCTTTGCCCCCTCAGCCTAGTTAATGCTATTACATTAAAAGGTAAGGCCTGCGCGCTTTTAACATTAAGTTGGCCTTTTGCCCACGGTCCGCGCCCTTGGATTTTTGTCAGCAGTGAGTTCATGTATTGTTGTCGTTTGTTAGTGAACAAAGGCCGTGCTTTCAGAATGCCCTCGAGCCCACGGTGAGAAACATTCACAAGCCTCCCCGTGTGTTCGAGTGGAGCTCAAGTTGCATCTGTGCTGTGAGACCGTGGCTTGACTATCAAAGTCGTACTTTGTTCTTGAGTTCGGGCTTGCTTATAGTAGGAACCTGCTATACTCTAGAGGAAGCACGAGAGAAACGGGCACATCGGGATTCGCAGGAATCGTCTGGATATCGGAGCCCCGAACGATTGAACATGCAAATGGCAAACAGATGGAAAGACTGAGAGTTCTGGTTGTTGAATAGTCGCAGTTTGTCTTTGAGTACGGTTAAGAAAAACACGCGAAACATGATCGTAGCTTGCTCCGTGCAGCAGAACTGCGCAATTAAAACATTTGTGCTCTTGTCGTACCACGGGCTATCATTGGTCAATGTCATCTGATGAGCCTGCAGCTACGACAGGTCGTCCTGGTCCAGCTCTGGTTGTGTACCTGCAATGCGTGAGACGAACCGGTGAACAATTAACATTTACATACATTTGCAGGCACCGAGGGCACTCCACACTTGCTTCGAGCAAACGTTCACCTGCAGACTTTCTGGCATTCAGCGATTGACATGACTTCTGAACCTCAGACATGGTGACTTATGCACATCCTGCACCTGAGCCTCGCATCATCACGACCACATCTTTAGCCTCCGTGCTCACTGGGTGTGTGACATGCTGCGACACAGAGTGCTTCTGTCTTGCACGTTTGCTCAAAACCGTGCAAGTGCAAAGACAACATACGAATGTGAAGCCTGCCTTATGTGGCTATCAGATGATGAGATGACCACAGGCCGTTTCTGCTCAGGCGAAGAGCCGGTTTGCCGAGGGAAGCTGACTGAATAAACAATGGTCTCCCCAGGTGGGAGTCTATGAACAACAGTGGCCTGCAGGTGCCCTTTGAAAACCTTTAATTCGTGCTGCTAGTGCAGCCCACAGGCCTAACACCTCGGACAGGAGCTGCAGAATCTCTTTGAGATACAACAAAATCCTGTATTCTTTGGATCGGTTGGTGGAAGCGTCGGCTACGATTCGCATTCGCATGGCGTTGGGTGTGCAGTCAGACGCTGGCCCAACTGTCGCGACAAATCGGGCATGCTGCATGTCCGCACTTCTTGAGGACATGCCAGTCCA